TGAGTAGCGCCGCAAGAGTAGGCACCTGCTAGATCGTAACAATAATAAAATGTTGAGAAATGGGCACTGTAATATTATTAAGTGCTCGTCATAATATTCTGTCCTAGTACAGACGACCCTACGAACGGGTTTTTCTCTGGTCATATAGCTCCCTGAGAGTTATCGTATCTGTTCTGATTGATATTTTACACAGGCGATACGACGGTGAGACTCTTTCTGATTTTTCCGCTTCTGAGCTGTTATCGTAATGAACGCGATGTTGGCAATTAGCTTGTATAATATTACGATGGCAAATACTTTAAATTATTCGAATTTAAAAACTTTCAACTAAATATTTATACTGCGGATTAAAATATAAAGCTATTCAACGCGATTCGAACGTATGCATAAAAGACGGTATAATATGCCGAATAACTACCGAGATCAGTATTGTTTTTAGGGATCGAGATAGTGGGAAAATAAACAACTATTAAAGCAACGAAAATATTTTTACATTTTATTTATTCATGAATTGATACTATTTATTGTGACACGCTGAAATATAACAAAAGCGATAGGTTATTTATTAAAGATCTCTTATCTATAAAGTATTTGCATGTCAACTACAGTTTACACAATGTACACGGAATAAATAATAAATGACCTCACTAATACTCGAGTATAAAATTGAAACAGGGGTATAAACTCGTTACGAAATGAATTTTAGTTCACACAAATCAACATAACGAACATTATAATCATTATAAATTTAACGTTATAGTTAAATGAATAAATAATTCTAAAAATTACACACATAATATTATTTTGTTTACGTTGTTAAAATAATTTATAATTCGGCTATACATGGAAATTAGATTAACAAACAACACAATATTATATTGTATACAAACTCAATGGTTAATATAATTTCTGAAGTATCTAAAATTAAATATAGGTAAATTCAATATATTGTGTGACATATCTTATTAGAATATAAAATAATAATAATATAATATAAAATAAATAATATTATAAAAATATAATTTCATTAATTCATATTATTATAATTAATTTTAATTTAATAATAATTTGGAGCATTATTGTTTTAGCAGAACTGTCCCAAGCAAAATTATTTTTTTCTTCTATTTTTCAGAAGTTTCCAGTTAAAACCATCAAGGCACACTACGACTATCAAAAATAAATTTTATAAATTAAAAAAAGTTAATATTGCATTTTGTTAATCGGAAATTATAGTTTTTAAGACAATTTTCCTTTTAAAGTATTAAATAAAAAAATTAAATACGTAAATCAACAATATTATTATTTATTAAACAATAATAAAAACTATAATTCGATTTATGTATTTTGTACATGCATATTAAATTGTATGTATTAATTTTTTATTATTATTCAACTAAAAACTGATCAATTTGATAAAATATTTCTATTGGTTATTTTGTTGAAATCAAATATAAAGACACTCTATGTATACACTTTCATTATGATTTAAATTAGGTACCTATGAAATAGTTCAAACAGCTGTAATTCATATAAACAATTTTATTATACGGTAAAGAGTATGTTAACATATTTTTCAGGATACAATTTTTGAAAACGATAAACTATATTGATATTTGATAATACAATATTATAATTATTACCTATTAATACTAAACTCAACAATAACTACTAAAAATGTATATTTCGTGATACTAGTACCTATACTACTTATGTATTTTGGTAATCATTGCTGTTCTATTGTTCTAGCTTGGGGACGAATCAATATGTCAAAGGAAAAAATGAATACAATTGTCAGTGATATTATTTATTATTCTCTCGAGATGCACAATGGTGCTTATATAATATAAATTACACACGCACACAAAAATACACACAAAAATTCGATTTTCATTCAAACACCTAAAATGTTGAAGTTTAACAAATACAACTAGGTATATCTAACGACAGGTAATAGGTACTTATCTACATATTATTATTACCCGGTATGAAATTCTAAAAACATAACACGTTATTAAATACCCGTTATTAGTTGTTGTAATATACTATTAACTTGCTTTCAACAATTGGTTTCAATGAATTTTGACTGTGAAATAAAGGTTTTATTGTTTCCATATTTTATTTTAATCGTTCAAATTTTAATATTAATTGTGTTGTTTTTAAATTAACATATTGTAAGATAATAAAATATCAAATCACAGAATTAAAAACGTGGCTTTCTATTTTTTTTAAAGTGTGTCTAATATTTTCAAAGTATATAAGAAAGGGTTAAAAAATGGAAGCCAATACAAGCACGTCTCTAAACTAGCTGAAATACTCATTATAAGTAATCCTTTTCTGTTTGTCAAAACTCAAAATATTATTGTTTACCACCAGTCTTGTATTCGTAAGCGGAGTTAGTCTTATTTTTTTTTAACCACACTCAACAATTATATCTTTACCTTTACCTAACCTCACATATGTGGTAAACATTCAATTTTTAAAATAGAGAGAAGAGAACGTTTTTGAATTCAAACCGTTAAGTATGACTTTTGAACTGGATTAAAAAATAAATTATTGTTAAAACTAGCTTAAAAATTTATAATTTCGACGAATATGGCTTAGAAAATACATAACGTAAATTATAGTATATAAAGTTTAATTGTATAGCTTTGTAATATTAATTATTCATTTATACAAGTTATTAAATTAGTACCTATATTATGAGATACAGAAACATAACCTTTGACATTTCAGTAATTTGATAATTTGATATATCTCTTGGAATATTATATAGTTTGTACATATTTATTATTTGTATTATAATATTAAATCAGAATTGAAACAACTACCTACGCTTTTCTTCTGAGAGGAAGACAAACCGAAATTCAATTTGGTTCGCTACAGTAAATATACGACGAAAATGATTAAGTTATTATATTTTATCTATTGTTTTCAGTCAGAACGTCATGAATTTTAGTCAACAGAAAACATCTGAAACAATAGAAAATTCACAGTGCATAGGTGCAAATAAATTATTATATTCAAAATAATATTGTAAGATGTTGGAAGACTGAAATGTAAATCATTCATCAGTAACAATTTTCTCACGAATAGTGTTTAAACGGTAAAATAATACCATAAGAACATATTATTACTAAGGGTTCGGTAGAATATGTATTAATCGATGCATTAATTGTTCAATGAACTGCCTGTACGCAACAAAAAACGTTCAATAAACATTTAAGTTTTCCGTATGACAATGTATAGACACCTACTGTATTTAAACTGCTACAACGTTAACACCCAAGAAATTAATATTTACATAATATGATTATGAAGATAATAACCGTATAGCATCATATTGGACGTAAAAACTTGTAATAACAAAAGCGTGTGTGGGAAAATCAACAATCTTTTTCATATAAAAGTAATACACAATGAATATAGAAAATATATATAACATAAATCTTAAATTTGGTTAGAAGTGATGAAAAATCAAAAGCATCTATGGTACTCAAAGACCAACATATCATGATACCACAATATTTAAGACTTAGGTTAGGTTAAGTTAAAGAAAACATATTGGTTCGGTAAAAATGGGGACGTTGTCCGTCGGTGAACACCTTATTATTTTACTACCTACACCATAGGTTAATAATTATGATTTCTTATGCATCTGTACGAACTTAACTGAAGTCAGAAATTAAATTATTGTGTTCGATTCCCTTGTATAATAATATGTATTCCTTATTCTGTGCTGTTGTAAGCAATAGTTTATAATAATTAAAATACGTGATAGTTATAATAATTAAAATACGTGAGAGTTATATAGTAATAATTTTAATCTCAATTGAAAACGTGTTAAAACTAGCAATGTATTGCGATTTTTTGATATTTTAAAATGATTTACAAGAATATTCAATTTGATTAGGTGTTCGATTACCTATATAATTCAAATATAAATGCAATTGGATCTCCTACAATATGTGTTTATTGTTTATAAAATTAATATTTATGTACAAATTATAAATTTAATTAATGCAATATAATATAATTTTTCACGCTATATTTTATACACTATTTTATTTATGATTATAATTGAGTAGCATGAGTATTATACTTAGTTACTTAGTATATGTATAGTATGCATAAAAATTGTTCTCAATTATTTTTAAACGTAGTATAATTAAAAATTATGGTATCTAATACTCATACTTGTAGGCTTTGAATACTTTTGTGTTTGTTGCTTATAAAGTAAAGTTAATTAGGTAAAATCATAAACTGCGTTGCAACATACACGCAAAATAGAAATTTTTCCAAATTATATCAAAGCTTAACAGTATAATTCCTTAAATCAATTTTAAAATAAATAGGTTTATTCCATCCACAGATGTCTACACTAACTAGATAAGGTACTCATATATAATTGGTATTGTTATCAAGTGAAGCTCAGCTGTGGACGGCCACCATTTTCTCGGGGGGCAAAACATTTAATTTATTATACAAAATGTATTAGGAATAATATTTTTTTTAATGGTCAAATAATATAGTAAATGTAAAATTACTTATATAAAAAAAAAATTTTTTTTTAACATGTTCAGAAATAATAAAATTCAATACAAAATAAATGATAATTAATTATACAATTTTCTTCACGTTT